GAGTAAAATAAAAAAAATATGAGATAATCACCTTACTGGACACGATCGATCCTATAAAAAAAGGATCGATTGATTTTTTATCTAAAATAAAATTTTTGCTTTAGGATTTGAAAGGGATTGATCACCCAAACTAGATGATCGATTACTTGAAAAATGGATCGATCCCTTATGCCTATAAATATTCAAATGGCTAGTTTTTTCAAGCTTCCAATAGGCATTTCTTCTTCCAAACTATCCCCAACTGTTAGTTCTTTAATTTTTTATAAATTGGGTACTCCAACACACCAAGAAAGTTGATGAATCAAGATAGTAAGATCAAACAAGTCATATATTCATTCTTTCAAAGAAATTAAGAGTTTTAGAGCTTTAAAGTTTATATTTTTGTATTTATTGTATCCAAATCATTTTTTATTATTCATTCATTATTTTCTTGTACTTAAACTTGACAAAAACTTACTCTTAAAAAGTATTTTAAGTTTGCATTTCTATTAAGTGATTTTGTAATAAAAAAATGAGATATCCTCTTGAATTTGTATGATTGAAAGATTGCTACTTAGCCAATAAAGTAAATAGTATTAATTTGCTATTTAAGTCTTAAGAAAAAGATAGAGTTATAATTTCAGTTTGAGAATAGTGAATTAAAGCCTTGGTATTGATAATAAAAAGAGATGACGTATGTGTCTTGTGAAGAATGATCAAACCTCTATAAATTCTTGTGTTTGATTTTTTATCCTTATCTCTTTATTTTACATTTGGTTTAAGATATATCAAATGTTGTCATGTGCATCATATTTTTATATTAATTTTAATTTTTCATTTAATTATTTTGAAATTATTGTTTGAAAAAAATTGAAAAAATCCAATTCATCCTTTCTTAGATCACCATCTCACGTAAAAAGCTAACAAATGTATTTGATATTACGTGAAATGAATCGTCAAGTATAAAATATTCAAAATATATAATCTTATAAAAAAGTAAAAAATTTAATATTTTTAATAAATAATTTATAAAATAGTAATATGTCATTTTATAAAAAACTATAAAGCATAAATAATTTTAATGAAAATAATTTCCATAAAACATTATTACATAAATTCATTGTCTTTTTTATAATAGTTTAAAAAAGAATGCACATAAGTTATAAAATAATTAAGCCAATGACCTAAAACTTGATTACTCATGTCATTACAAATTTTAATTTTTATTGAAAATCAATTTCATTAAAATTTCATAAATAAATATAATTTAATGAGTTTTTTTTTTTTAAATTAAGAAAATCTTAACCACATATAGCAAAAGGATGGCACCAATTTACAATTTCAATATTATAGAAAAATAATAATATTTTGCAAATTTTAATCATATATACTAAAAGACATAAATCGTACCAAGTAAAGAATAAGAGAATAATTGATTTATCCATGGAAAGTCTGCTTATAAAAATTATAGCTCAATTTATTTTGCAAAAATAATTTTTGAAAAATAAGTTTTACATTTTCAAGTATTTATTTAACAGAAAATTGATTGGTCAACGAAAAATAACTTACTGATTAATGAAAAATTAAGCTATTTTTTTGAAAATTATTTTACAAATTTAAAAATAAAGGTGTTTTTTTGAAAAAAAGCTATTTATAAGTAGAACTATTTATCAATACTTTTAAGCATAATTTTGCTTATAAATAATATTATTAATAAATAAATAAATAATATTATATGATTAATAAATAATATTATATGAATAAATAATACTATTAATAAATAATATTATAATATATTCATAAATAATATTATATTAATAAATCATATGTTAATAAATATTATTATAAATAAATATTATACTAATATATTAATATTAATAAATAATATTATATAAATAAATAATACTATATTAATAAATCATATTATAATATATTATTAATAAATAGTATTATATTAAAAATAATATAATAATAAATATTATTAATTTAATTAATAAATATTATAATAATATATAAATAATATATTATTAATGAATAATATACAATTAATATAATATATTAATAAATATTGTTAACAAATAATATTATAATATATTAATAAATAATATAAAGAATAATAAATAGTTTTATTTTAAGTTTTTTCATTAACATAATATTTTAATATTAAATATTATTAAAATATAATTATTTTTAATATTAATAATTTTAATAATAAATAAATTTTAATATTTTAATAGTTATATTAATATTATTTGAAAAAAATAGCTTTTTCAAAAAACAATCAAATAATGAAAAATATTTTTCATTAATTCATCCAAACAACAAAAAATCTCTTTCAATTAAAAAAATGTAAGTATTTTTTAGAAATAATTTTTTGGATATTATTTTTTGTGAAACAAAGAAACTTAAATTTGGAAGGAATTATATATTTATTCTCACTACCATTAAGGTAAATTAATCAAAAAATAATATTAAAAATTATTTTCTTTCGATGATAGAACTTTTCATCTTTTAAAATGGGAATAAAATCATTTCTCAAAGTAATGGTCTCATCATCCCACTAATTTAAAATCACTACCACATAAGATTCATATTATTATCAAACAAGGAGATTTAATTATTGACCGTAGATTATTGTGATTTTTAAATTGAGCATCCTAAACCAAATGTTTTTTTTAAAGTGATGTTTGGTTCGAGGTGATTATTTAAAAACACGATGATCTACACATGGCTACTAATTAGACCATCATTTTTTGGTAAACATTGGATGGTTTTATTTTACAATGATCTTAAATTATTGAAAATGATCATATATTACCTTAAAAAGTGTTTTAATTCTCATGCAAGAGTAAAAATTTTTATGCGAATTAAAAATTTATCTTTGTTCAAAATTTTAATCATTTTATATTGTAAATTTTTATATTTTCAAATCAATATTGGTTATGATAAATTAAAAAATAATTTATGTGTGTTTTTTAATTTTTAATGTTATATAAAATATTATTTTTATTTTTTATTATGATTTTAATGTATAAGTTTTATTTTTTAATTCAATTTTTTACATAATAAATTATATAAAAATTAATTTACCTATCGATAAGTATATTTGTTAATTAATAATTAATTGTATTTTATTATAATGTAAATAAAATATTATTAATATTTTATAAATTATTATTTAAATAATATTAAAATTATTACTTTATATAATTATTACAATATATGATTTTTTTAATACTTTCAAATAAAATTTAATTTTTAATAATACTAAATATAATAATTAAATTACCGTAATAATTTTAAAAATAATATAAAAAGACTAACTAAAATAAAACGCTGTCCACGTCGGAAAGAAAAATGGCTCGTCACGTCACGTGTCCCTCTACCTAGATGATCTGTCTCTGTTTTATTTAGTTTTTCCTCAACTTTTTCATTCAATCAACACAATATTACTCATATTTAGAAAATGTTATACATGTCAGTCGCTTATGAGCTAAATGGTAAGCCAACAAATAGGATTATGCACAACAAACTATTGTAGGGTTTTTTTTTTTTGGAATAGAACGCAACAAAATATTCTCAACACCTGTAGCAATCTATTTCAACTTCAATACACCAAATCCAGAGTATCTCCTCTCTATCCAATCTAAGCCGTCAATCTTTTATTCATAATTGTAAAAAATTGCTTTGAATAATTTTATTTATAAACTTTTTTTAGACATTGCTTGAGAAAGTTTATTATTATTATTATTATTAGACTAATTTTATTAATAAACTTTTTTTAGATATTGCTTAATAAAGTATTATTATTATTATTATTATTATTATTATTATTATTATTATTATTATTATTATAGTTAAGCCATTCTAACATTTTGGGACAATTTTTATAAAATCAAATTAGTGAAATCATGTTTATATTTTAACTTGATGTATTTTGATTATTTTAAATTTGTGAATACAGTGTTAAACAATCATATGATATATTGGTATAATATTATATTTTAAATGTTAATAATAGGATTTAAATTTTGATAAATTCAAATGTAAATCTGTAAATACATTAAACCTTTTCATTTTTTTTTTTTGCAAAATGTTCAATTAATCGACTTTTTTTCTTTAAAATATCCACCATTCAAATTTAAATTACTTTTTTGCAGAAAATTGCTACTTAGATTTTGGATTTTGATTCAGAAATTGATTAACAAATCATTCTTCTTATGTAAAAACTTAGAATCAAAATAACAGTTCTGTTTTTAATGAGAATGTTACGAAAAGAATGTTCACCAGTTCGAGGGCATGTCTAATGACATTGTATCTATTTTATTCTTTTCAGTTTGTGGAAAATGTGCATCAAACACTTTTTATTGTTCTGGTCCAAAGTTGCAATTTTTAATCAATTTTAATACTTGATGTTTAAGTTTATGCTTCACGGTACTAAATCATGATTAACCCCAAAGGTTATGCATAATCCACGTAGCGTATCAACCTTCTATATTAGATTGAAATCCATCGGGTTTATGGATTGGATCGCAGGATATGCGTTGGAAAATTTTATAATAAACTATTAATAAATTACGTGACAGATCATTCTTGCTCATTTTTAACCCAAAAATCCTCCATCAGGCTAAAAACACGTGTCCTGAATCTGATACCTCAGTCAAAATTTTCAAAGCGTGTCCTTGCCTAATTTTGCAGGTATATCAGATCTTGACCGTCCATTTCCCCTTCGAAAAATAATTTCTCGGACCGTCCTATTTCACCGACCGATAGTATGTTAAACACATAATCCTACGGTCAAACTCAGGGTAAGCAATTTAACTCTCTACTCTTTGCTCGTTCGAGTCAAAGTTTTGTTTAATCCAACTTTTGATAATGAGGGTGCAAGTTTTATAAAATGTTGCGTTTGCAGGTGATAGTTGCGCTTTTAAGTTACAAAAGTGAAATGAGATATTTTGAAGCCAGGGGAGGGTGAATACGTCATTTTGACGTTTAAATTGTCAACTATGACAGCAATGACATGACGGAAACCAGAATCCTAACAGTTTTCACTTCCGTATTTCAAAAAGGCCAAAAATTTTCGAAGTATCCAGAACTCGAAGAAACCGATTTTCTCTCCTTTCTTTCAACAGCTATATAAAGTGTGCTTTGATCTATAATTTTAACAATCACATTATTATCATTTTTATTTTATAACCAAAAAAAAAAAAAAAAAGAAAGGAAAAGGCTCGGTTTGAGAAACTGAAACGATATATTTGCGATTGGACGTTCTCATCGGGATCACGCCGTTGTTGTTATTCAAATCGGGGCGATTCTCCGGGATTGAAAGTTCGTTATTTTATAAAAAAATTGTTTAAATTAATTATTTTGATTTGATTATTGTTGAATTATTTGTTTAGGTACTGTGTCAGGCAAATATTATTGTTGAAAATGGTAATTTATTGATTTTCTTTCTTAGTCGATTCATTTTCTGTTTGGTTTCTGAGAAGATCGAACGAAAAAGAAGGGAAAGTTTCTTGAAAACGGTATTCCCTCTTGAGGAGGGGAACTGAAACGTTTTCAAAAGATTTTGGTTCTTTTATAGAAAAAATATAGAGGAAATTTATGGTTTCAAGTTTCTTTATCTTCTTGTGATTACTTAATAATCAAAGCGAAGTAATAGGACTGAAGAGAACTGATTGGCTTAATGTGATCTAATTGAGGATCAACCTTGGTGCACTAATGTTAGATAATTGAATCTGTGGCTCCTCTTTAGCATAAGATCGTGAATTATTGATTTATTGTATATTTTGGTCTAATTTGATTTTGCATAGAATTATGTGTGATATTAAATATAGTTTTTAACTTGTTTACTGCCTTATTGATTTGAGGTCATGGTTGTGTTGTTTATGCTGCCGCTGCTGTTGTTGTTTTGTTATTGTCCGCGTCATGTTGCTGCTAATTTCTGTTTGCAGTGGTAGGTAGGAATTTAAGTTTAGACATGAAATTTCTTTCATTTACGGCTTATTTTTACAGTGTTAGTTGATTCCTTTTATTAGAATTTTTTTGTCTTTTCGTGTGGATGTCATTTGTGTATTTATAATGTTTATTTGTGTCATTTGTAGTGTTTATTAGAGTATTTCCTCACTATGTGACTGTTTGGAGCCTTCAGCATAAGCGTTGCATGTCAGTTCCTTTTGTACTATGAAGGATACTAGCTTAGATATTGCTTGTTGCAAAGCAATACCGTTTATTAACTATGAAATTATGGAGTTTTTTGTGTCATTATTTGTTTATGGGAGTATATGGCCAACCCAAATGATACATCATGAAGGCATTTACATGGATGACATGATAGAGAAAATTGATTAGTTTTGTATAGTATTAAAACTAAAAGTTTTAAATTTATGTTTCATAGGTCTGCAAGTGGGTGTAGAATGGGGAAAACAAACTGATGAAACTGTATTATTTTTTATAATTAGTCTGCCTTTTGCTTGGTGGCCAATGTTTTTATTGTCTAACACAAGATGTGATTTCTTTTCGGGTTTGAATAGCTTTTGTCTCTTCCTTGAACAAACTATAAAAGAATAATAATAACTTTATCATTTTAGGGGTTGCTTTGGAAAGTTGATCTTGTGACATATTATGATATCTTTCTCTCTGCAAGAAAGTGCCATAGAAGAGACTTTTGAGATTGTGACAGCTATGTGTGTGGGAAACTAGAACATTTGTTTACTTAGCCGCTTGGAATATGTGGTTGAATGTTAGCTAATCAAGAACACCGCAACTTTGACTTCTGTTTTTTGAATTTAAATGGTTCCTGCAGCTTATGATTGGAATTTATTAGGGATTTGCATGCAGATCTTTGTTTTTTCCTCTTAAATTAGCTACAGGTGTTGAAGATGCTTAGGTTGGTGAACCCTTTCGAATTAGTTGGTTTGCATAACAGTTTTCTGCAGAGCTTCACTACCCTTACAGGTTGTGGAATTTGTTGATCTACTTAATCAAGGGATTAAGCGTGTGGGATGCTAAGCTTGTCTTTTACATCTCCGCCAATGGATAGCTCTCCAAATTGCCATTTTCTATGTCTTCATCACATTTGAACCTTTATAGTGATGAAAACATGCTTTTAGGTGTATCATCACTTTGCTGTTCATTCATGGTTCTTTTTTCCTTATAAACTTCGATTCCTTTCAAATCTCTTGAAGAGTGACGATAACTTATAGACAAGGTCATTGCCATGTCCCCAAATTATGGGGTCAGCCTTTTTATTCACCGAGTTACAATTCTTCCAAAAACCCTAGGAGGGTGGATTTCTAACTAACAATAAACAGAAAAATCTCTTCTAATAGGGTGTGCATGAAATCTTCCTATCTTCCTTGATATGAGGTACCTTAATTCATGGTAAACTACTAGTTTGGTTTACTCATGACCGCAAATCTTGTGGTTGTTTGGAGTTTCCTGCGTAGAACTTGATTTTTGGAGAGAAATAATTAGGTTGAAGTATGTTCAATTCTATATGAAGATACACCTTCTCAAGTTGTAAGGATGTGAAGGTATTAAGTGACGAGTAATTACAATTGTCAAAGGAGACTTGGTGCAGAAATGCTGGAGGTAGGCTTGTCCTTGTGGAAAATAACAGAGCAAAACTTTGCAATCAATCACTCTTTTTCCTCTTTTTTTATTTTGCATTATAGAATATGTTTGATTCTGTGATCTGTTGCTTTTACCATAGGTTGGGATGTCTATTTCCATTATAGTTGGATTTGGGTCCAGAACTTCAAGAAATCAAGTCACCATGCAATGCTATTGCTTTCTGCTCACTGCTGGAGGCTCTGGAGTTCCTCAGTGCTGCATTGTTGTTATTTGTGTGGGATTATAGTAGTTCTACTTATTTTGATGAATCCTTCTCTTGGAGTAATGCTGATTGGAGCTGTTCAACGTTGGATTATTTTGTTAAGGATTCGATTGGTCTGCAGCAGTGTTGAAGAAAGCAACAATGTCATGGAGTGTTTGCCTGGCTTGTTCAAGCCACTAGATATCTTTAAAATCTTAGGATCTTTGCTAAATGTTTTACTGTTTGCAGGTTTCTAGGCTTATTGCCAGCTGTTAGACAGATAAGGATAAGGTTTGATCTGAAGATATCATTTTCAATGGAGGAAGTGGAAAATAAGCATTCTGGATCTGAAGTAATAGAGCTTTGTCACCATCAAAATGAATGTTGCAAAGTAAATGAAGAAGAGGTTGGAGGGTCATGCTCACAGCAGTCTGGTGGGGATGAATCAAGCAATGCAGAGGCAACAGAATTGCTGGAGAAGGGTTTTATGGAGTACGGGTAAGCTCTAATCTTTGCTTCAGATTAATTTATTTCCATTCAGGTTTCTTTGTTTGTTGGCTAACATCATGTGCTGTTATTTTTTCCCTTTTTCTCCAGTTGCTCACATTATCAAAGAAGGTGCCGTATTAGAGCTCCTTGTTGTGGTGAGATCTTTGATTGTCGCCACTGTCATAATGAGGCAAAGGTTTGTTCTCATCCTTAAACATTTTATTGTTAAGATAAATTGTTATCATATGACATTGTTGTTTGAGAATGCCATTGCTAAGATGCAAGTAGATAATTTGAGTGTTTATCATGCATTTTTACTTAGTTTGTTTCGTGATACCTTTCAAGTTCTATGAACTTCTAAATATTTACGTACTTTTATTGAAAATATCTATCACTAGCAATGAAAAATCATTCTAATATCGAACTAGAAAGTTGTGATTCTATCACCCTGAAAACATAGTTTCCTTTATTAATTTCAATGATAATAACATGCAACTAATTATTGACTATGTGCAGAACAATATCAATGTTGACCAGAAGCTCAGACATGACATCCCACGCCATCAAGTCAGTCAGGTATTTATATCCAGAAATTCTGCTTTATTCTTTCTACCCTGTGGTCCCTGCAAATTTTTCCTTTGTGTTGGTAGACATCTTATTTGCTGTAATGCTTTATATTGCTGACATTTCATTTTTTCTCTGTAACTTTTACCAGGTCATTTGTTCACTATGTGGCACAGAACAAGAGGTAAATTAGTCTAAGTGATATTTATAGGCATTTCATTAACCATTTTCTTCAAGATGAAAAAAGTCAATATTACACCATGAACCTCTAAGGTATTCATGTGTAAGAGGAGTGATGGTATTGTTGATGACACGGAAAACTTAATTAGCAGAATCTAGTTCTTCAAAAGCTTTTTCTATGTAGTTGGAGTTCTCCTAAGCACGTTTGCTTTTGATTTCATTTGGAACAGGTCCAGCAAGTCTGCATTAACTGTCGCGTATGTATGGGGAAATATTTCTGCAAGGCCTGCAAACTTTTTGATGACGATGTAAGTGATGTTGCAAAAGAATGTGAATCTTGGGTTTTCCATCTTTTTATGGGTTTTTTTACCTTTGTCTTGTTGTCTTAGTTCTTTGTGTTTTTGTGAAAGGAGTTAACAGAATACAATATTGGCATACTAATATTGCTTCTACCATACAGACATCAAAGAGACAGTATCATTGTGATGGTTGTGGGATCTGTAGGTATGGTGCTCATATTCTGTTTTTTTTGCCTTAAATTTTTTTGTGCATTTATGGTTGTCTGCAAACCATTTTTACCCCTAAGAAAGTCATTTTCGTAAGTTTTATGTCACTATTTATCCTAAATTTGAAATTTGTAAAGTATAACCTTAATGTGATCGGGAGATACTGACTTAGCTTTTATGTTCAAAGTGCCATTGCTTTCTTTACATCCTTTAATTTTTAGGAAACCACTCCCCTTATTTCTGCCCTCTTACTGTTTTTTTTTTTTTTTTTTTTGTCCCGAGTGTTTTAGAATTGTTTATGAAATTATTTTCCTTATTTCTTCCCTCTTCACTTTTGTTTCTTTTTTATCATGTCACTGCATTTGTCTATTAATCTTGTCATTGTTACAACTAAATAATAATGTTATTTTCTTCCAGAATTGGAGGACAGGAGAATTTCTTCCATTGCAACAATTGTGGTAAGCTAATCTGAATCTGCCTCATATAAGTTTGTATTAGAGCTTGTGGGTATTTGAACATTACTAATACTTTTATCTGTTTCCTTTTGTATTCTTTGTCATATAAAGGTTGCTGCTATTCTATTCTTCTGAAAAAAAGCCATCCCTGCGTGGAAGGAGCAATGCATCATGACTGCCCCGTATGCTTTGAGGTAATTTCAATGAGACATTCTTCTATTTGCCATCATGATAATTAATTGCTTTGATATACTTTAACTGTAAACAACAATTTGGATGTGTAGTTTCTGTTTGAGTCAAGATATGATGTAACTGTTCTGCCATGTGGACATACCATTCACACAGATTGCTTGAAGGATATGACGGACCATTTCCAGTGAGTGCTTCAGTTCAATCTCAGGTTTAGCTATTTCATGTTATTTGTAACATTTCAGTATTCTTGACTGGTATACTAATCACTGCAACAGATATGCGTGTCCTCTGTGCTCCAAGTCAGTTTGTGACATGTCAAAGGTTTGGGAGAAATTTGATGAGGAGATTGCAGCTACACCAATGCCGGAACCTTATCAAAATAAAATGGTTTGTAATTTCAATCTAACCTTCTATTTTGCATATTCAGTCCTTTTCTATATTTTTATGACAGTTGAGAGCTCTGCCTACTAACCATGTATCATGTAATATGAGTATCTATCTCTTTTGAGTGCGAAGAATGACAAACCTGAAATGATTTTAGTAGAGATTCATTTTTGTGGAAGCAGCTCCTATAAGATTTTTTCATTTACAGATTTAATTCTGATAAACAGGTTTCAATTCTTTGTAATGATTGTGGGACAAAGTCAGAGGTGCGGTTTCATGTTCTGGCTCGAAAATGCCCAAATTGCAAGTCATATAATACTCGGCAAACAAGAGGCTAAAGTGGCAAGAGTAGCAGCTGGAAATGAGTTGATGATATATTTTCTGCATTGATGCTATACGTTGGGCTCTCATCAAGAGCAAAGCTTCATGGCCACACTCGTGGAGAATATTTTTGTACTGGAGATGAGTTCATTCGGAGTCATTAATTTTTTTGTTTACTTCTCTTTCCGCTGCATTGCTTGTATGTTCAATTATTTATAGATAATTCACAATATCATTTGGTTGACATTAGACAATACTTGTTTTCCTTTTGGTTTTTGGTTAGATTACCTTTTTGTAGGAAAGATGTCTGTTTCATCCTTTTAGGCAGCTAGTTACTGTTTTCATCCATGGTCCATGGAATCAGTGTTGCTGTCTATTCTAGTCATCTTAATCTTCTGCCAAAGGGTTCGAATTCTCCTAATGTTGCATGGGAGCTGCATTCGTTGACTGTCTGATAGTAGAGTAGGACTTGTCATGGACTAGTCTTTGAGTGTCACCTCCAAATCTTAGGCTTGGAGAGCAGAAAGTTTTGGCTCGGGTATGTCCGAAAAGTCAAGTTTGTTCATGTTCAGTGACAATCGGTGACTGTTATCTTGCTAGTATTGGTGTTGTGGAGCACTGGATGTTGCAGACTGCTGTTTGGTTCGTATGACAGTCAAGATTCTGTAATGTCAAGAGGTTTGGGTATCGGGTTGGAGTCCTATCACGATGAGAACTTGGAAATTTAATTTCTTGTTTCATCAGGGCAATGAATGTTACTTCTCTCTTTCAATGGCCCTGTAATGATCTTTTCTGAATTTTATGCTTTCTTTCGTGTTAACCAGTCCGAGTTATTTGTCTTTCTTTTCCTTTTTTTTTTTTCCTCTTTTGGCAAATGTTGTGCCCGATTCTGGGAACTTTAACGAATTCAAAGCAGGTCAACAGAAATCTGATTCTGGTTATTTTTGTTTGGGAGATTTCACCTTTTAGTAGCAGTTATTATGTTAATAGACTTAGTTGCTATGCCTTTACAAGATTTTATGTTGACTGTTATCCATTGTAATGTTGTCTGAAACTTTTGCCGGCTGCATGTTCTTGGATTGCTAGGTTTGGATCGCCAGTAGGATTTTGGGTTTCACCGTTTCAGTGAGATGTTTTCTAGTCTAAACAGTTACCTTCACTGTTTGATTTGGTTCAATTAAATAATCTCTGGTGTGAGAAGATGTATGTTCTGTACTGGGATAGTAATACATTTGCAGATTGGATGACATCTAAGTAACATTTTCAGATTGGAGTTACGAGTATGATGATTACATGACTTCTGAAGAACTACATTACTTTGATCGTACAAGCCTTGGCCTGTAAATGACAAAAATTTATCTTATGGATAGCCGAGGAACCATTACTTGGATTTGGGCATAATTAATTCAAATCTTCATTTAGTGTGATTTTAGTCAGCTGTGAATGTAAAAAGTAACAAACTTTAACTGCCGTTATATTCACCTATTTTTGTAGGTAGCCTGGGGTGAGGAAAAGGGAAGTCACTTATTTTTGTAGTAGCTCGGATAGAGATAAAAGAAGGATTGGGAATATTGAAATTCGAATATTAAAACTTTTTAATGTTATTACTTAAAATTAATTTTATAAATTAATTGAATTAAATTTTTTAAGTTTTTTGTATGATTAATTCAAAATGAAAAAAATCATCGCATGATGATGAGCAGCAATTTAAAAAATATATTTTAAAATTAAATCAGAAAGTTACGTCTCAACAAAATACAAAGAAAGCATGACTGAGCTGCGAATCTTTGTAGCATAGGCACGTAATATTTACGCATACCAGTTAGTTCTTGTAAAGGGTGACTGGCTATTAGAGTTTGCCTTAACCTGTTAAGATCCATTATATTTTAAGCATATTTAAGAGAAAAAAGAAGAAAATAAAGAAACATAATTCCAGCTGAACAACCTGAGTATAACAGATTCACATAAAATTGGATAATGTAAACTAAAAGAAATGAACGAAAGTAGTATAAATGAAGGTGCGACTGAAGCGAGAAAGGAGGATCTTCATTGAAGCCTGGGGTCCAAAAACTTGAAAATTGATTTACACATATATCACTTTTTTTCAATAATTTTAAAATTTTTATAGATAAAATAGTGAACTTAAATTTATTAGGTTCACAACTTCACATTCATTATTCGTTATTTGCGATGACTCTGGATTATAGGAGTAACAAAAATGAGTTGTATTCAAACGTTATTAAATTGATTTTTGATTTAAAATTCATCACTATATTTTCACTAGGGCAATGTTGCCAGGGGCAGTCTCTTCAGCGGACGCTTTCGAACGCTCGTCCTATTAAAAAGCCATGTACTCTTTCAACTTTTCCGTAAACAACAATGAGAACTTTCTTTCTAAGTTATCAACTCTAGATGGGATTTTGACCAAGAACGAATGCTTTGAAATATCTTCAAGTTCTTCAAGGCCAATTAAGCCAGAACTTGAAGAAGATGGTTTTTTAGATATAATAATTAAGGCCAAAACTTGGGCTGTTTTTTCTTAGTTATCTCTTCTTGATGGGATTTGATTTGCCTTATTTAGGTTGCAAACAATTATATTCAGGGATTTAGATAGAGGCAAAATTTTAAACCAATTAGTATGTGGAGGATATCATGCAGGTTCAAACTTGACATGGAAAATCAGATTCATCTTTAAATTTAATATGGAATTAAGACAATCATATTCAAATCTCATATGCCCTCTATTGTTTTTGTCATACTCATCCCAGAGGAATCGCCTCCTCCAACCTTTATTACCTTGATCAATGTTACAATTAAAACACAAACATTGTATACAACTTCTTGTAGTAAACTCTTCTTGGGTTTTCTAAACACTCTCATTGTTGTCAACTTGGGGATATTCGGGGACAATCTTCTTCCAGAACCAATGTTTTCTCCACAGAAATATCATTTCTTCAATTGGAACTCCCTTTGTTTCAGGCAAGAAAAAGTAAACGAAGATGGTCATGACAGTAATCCAGCCCGCGAAGAATAGGAAGATTCCGAACTTGAAATGACAAAGCATGGCAAGGAAGCACTGTGCTATGATGAAAGTGAATAGAAGATTTACAGAAACTGTAATGCCTTGTCCTGCAGACCTGGTTTCCAATGGGAATACCTCACTTGGTACAGTCCAGCCTAGTGGACCCCATGACCATCCAAATGCTAAAACAAAGAGACATATCACAATTACCACCAATATTGAGTATCCTTTTGATAGTTCTTGGTTGTCCCCAAACTTCACTCCCAAGATTATGGCAACTGTAACCTGTTTCAGAGGCAGATGATGAGAGAATGATCAGTTGTCTACTTGTCTTGCTTAAGTTACTTTTATAGCCTTTAGGAGATGTTGGAATTGATTACTTTCTGATGACTTCAGTAAAATTCAATATTATTTGTTCAGAGGTAGAATATTAAGATCTCTTACCTGACATATAATCATCTGTATTCCGCCACTGATAAGTAAAACTCTTCGACCCAATCTATCGACCGTTGCAATGGAAATGAATGTAGATCCAGCCAGAACTGCTCCTGTTAGAGCTGAAGAGTAAAGTGAAGCATTACCTCCAAATCCCATGCTTTGGAACAATACTGGAGCATAAAAGAGAATGGAGTTTATGCCTGTTAGGATTTGGAATGTTGGCATGCAGATTGCCATGACCAATTGTGGCCTGTTCCTTCTCTCAAGGATGTTTCTAAAGGGATGCTTGATTGCATTTGCCAAATCACTGGCATCTATCATGTCTTGAAACTCTGCATCAATATTATTTGTTCCTCTAATCTTAACCAGGACATTTCTGCCTCTCTCTTTTGATCCCCTTTCAATTAAGCTGTTAGGTGTCTCAGGAAGAAGGAATCCTCCCACTGTCATTAAAAAGGCTGGTATTGCTGCTAGACCTAGGGAAAGCCTCCAACCCCAGGGTTCAAGCTTTTGGGTTCCATAATTGACCATGTTCGCTGTAAAGATTCCAAGGGTAGTTGCTAACTGAAACATCATGTTGAGAGCTCCTCGAACATGAGTTGGTGCCATTTCTGATAGATATAGTGGAACAGCCTTCATAATAAGCATGAAAAAGTAAGGCTCAGAAATTCTCAGAAATATCTATTGAACTGTTACATGGTTAAAACTCTCATAGATCAAGAAAAGTATATTAGGCATTGCTCATTTCCTGCGAGAAGAAGCAAATGAATGCTCATGACTCCTGTTCGTAAAAGTATAGAAACCATGTGTTTCAAAGAATGGATAAGGAAATTTTTGGTAATTTCCAAAATCCTAAATAAGTTAATTAGGAAGATAAACTAGGAGGAAAGCTTCTAGTGAAACAGGTTGTTACCTGGTTTCCAAATCCTATTCCAACACCAAGCATGATTCGACCCAACAGAAGCATTGCTATATTGACAGCTGCGGCATTAAGAGTTGCTCCAACAAGAAAGCTGAGTCCACCACAAATTATACTTGCACGACGACCGTACTTCCTAGTTATAGGAGACGCCACCAAGGATGCAACTAGACCAGCGAGGTATAGAGAAGAGGTGAATGCTGCGAGCCCTTGGTTGTCATATTTGCAGTAGTTGTTTTCATGGGCGTGCTGCTTGTTTATGTACACCGAATGGAAAAACTTTCGAAGAAATCCATCCATGGATGTTACACCGCCTGTGAATAATTGTTATGAAATTCACAAGAATATCAGTGATAAAAATTTCATAACCTTTTCTTTTTGACATTTTGCTGGTCTCTTGAAAAAAAAAAAAAGAGGTTCAAAACATGAGTTTCGAAGACTATTCACTTTTATGTCCAGTGGCCTATCTTTTGTTTGATTCCTAATAATCACATCATTACTTCCATAGAAATGTAAATAAACTGAACTCTGCCCGGAAACCAAACAGAGTGAAACAAAACAATTCTGTTCCTGTTCCTGCCAAAGATGTAATTCTTGAATTTAAATATGATAGATAAGTTTCTACTTTTCACTTCTTTAGATTACAATCGAAACTAGATTTCCAATCTTCGATGATTTCTATATTTGCTTCTAGTTAGGTTGTTGGTTGAGTGTCGGTAGATTTTCTCCTTGAAATTAACGTTAGAACAGCTACCTAAATAAATCTATCTATAAAAATTTTGGCTGATATAAAGTACCTGAAATTCCGATGTCATATCCGAAAATTGATCCTCCAACAGCTGCAACAATGCATGCAATAACCACATACAAGGTGACCCTCCCTTGGTACTGATCTGCTCTCTCCTTGGCCACCCCGGTTGGAGCTAAAGCCCCTGCAGGCATGTTTGAAAGCTTCTCTTTTCTTCCTCCTAGAGACACCAAAAACCAGATGAAATAAAAGGAGATAGCTCTTCAGCCTGCAGGACTGTTTTTCTGTTCTTGTCTTGCCCTTACTGGAGATTTTAAAGCCTGTTACTCCGGTTGACGAAAGAGAAACAACCTCCCCACTTGACCTTGGAAAGCTAGGAAATAATAACTTTTCCGAGTGTCTATCTCAATTATCAGTCAAGGAAATATTTTATTAATTTGTTTAATGTACATATGATAGTATTATATGTATGGTGACTATTATTTACAAGGACATAAATAATATTGAATTTTTATGATATTTTTGTTTCCACTTGAAACTGCCTGGTTCTGTTAATCAGCAAAGAAAACAAAAGAAAAAATATATTCCATTGCAATTGTGCCAAAATTGGATACAGGAAAAAAAATAGCGCAACACTTTTCTTTGCATTTTCATCAATGAAGGCAAGACTTATACGAAGCAAACATTGTGTTTCTAGGAAACAAATTTTGTGTATGACAAGATTAAATTTCTGGACAGAAATCTGACAAGCACAAATAAATATTTGAGGGATCTATCAATGAAAACTCATCATCTATTTCTGGTAATTAGTCATTCTTGTGATGCCAAGTGAAAATTCATGACAATTATTCTTCTGGGTTATCTGATTTTACCTTTCTCGGCTTTCTGACTGAGACGAAATGAATTCGTTTGATCGAACGAAGATGCTTTTCCTCCTATTTATCTGAGAAAAGAAACAAAGGAAACAAAAAAAAAAAAAAAAAAGAGAAGAAAAATCTCTTTCAAGGTCACAGTATATTTCACTTCATTTTATGTCATGGTTCTTTGAAGTGAAAAAATGCAGGAGTACGTCAAACTTTCAAAAAAAAAAAACCTCTCAGGCTTCTCTTTAAGTACTTGCAAATTGGCATAGAAGGGGATTCGCATAGGCCAAAATGGCTTCCAAAATAAATTGAAAAGTTTGATCATATGAACCGCTATATATAGCAACCACATTCCCTCCTTTATTTCTTACCCATAAAAGGAAAAAAAAAAAAGAAAAAATGTATAGACAAGTGTAACAAAAATTGCTTTTTTTTTTTGGCAGGGAATGATATTTACTTCCATGTATCAATAATCTCTCTAATTTGGTTCTTACAAATTAAAGGATATAAATAGATTGATATTTAAATTCGTTGATATGATATTAAAATTAACATTTGAGTTTACCAATAAAAATTATATATGTAATAGATTAAGATTTTAAAAAATAAAGTACATAAATCTTGCGAAAATAGGAATTAATATTGAGATATGGGTAGAAGTGAAAATGGCAGCATCAGATTGATGTTGATGTTTCATTGAATTTCACAATTTGGTTTTGAGCAGTTTGCTCTGGACCTGGACTGGAGTGAGTGCGTTTTTAATGAATTTGCCCGTATGTATTTGTTTCATGTTTGATTCGGATTCTCGCAAATTCAATTCTGTCTGGATTTGAGCCAGTTGCAAATGCTGTCTATATCTGCCAGTCAAAAAGAGCAACATTTACCTTGATTTTCTCACTCTTCTGGAAACCTTTGCGTAGGAAGCAACTTCCACCATACTTTTATTGTCTCTCTTTCATTTCATTTTCTTACTCCATTAACTCTACATTAAGAAGACACTTGCCTCTTTACGACTGAGATTTTGAATCATGGATTTGAATTACCTCTTTCAAACTATTTAGTTTAATTAATGAAAGCAAAGAAAATTATAAATGAATATTATTTTATTTTATGTTCCATAGAGGTGGGATTTTGACTTTTAAATCTATCATTAAAGACAATATTTATATGCCGTCATGACATTTTTGCTAACGTTTGAAGATTGAGTTCGAAAGAATTTATATATAGCATTTTTATGGATAAAATAATTATAAAGCATAAAAGATTGTTAAAGATTAAAAAATTTTAAAAAAAAATATTGATATTGTCATAGTGGTCCAATCAACCTAGATTCGTGACATTGGCATTTAAAATTTTAGTTTTCAACTTGGGCAAGTTCAGTGTCCCAAAATTTATGGTAATATTTAAAACCAATAAAAAAACAGCGTAAGTTTGGAGAAGTTTCATAAAGTCAATGTACAACTCATTTGTGTTGCCAAATATTAATTGCCGGAATCTTTAAACTTTGTTAAGAAAGAAAATGAAATGGTGGAAAACGGGTAGATGACATTTGTTAATGGTTATCTCTCCCTTTGACTAAATGCTCTGATGATTCTGCTAGTTTTAGTATTTTTAACCGTAGATGGCTTAAGTAGCGAGCAAGAAGACAAAGTATTCCATGTCAATTTCTGAATCTCACCTCCCATTTGCAGTTCTTATCTTAATAAATGCAAGGTCGATGTTTTTTATGCATGTAATAAATAAAAATTAATGCACTTGCAAAATATTATGGATATATATATAAAAATTAAAAATATCTAAATCTAGTATATATTTATTATGATTAAGCTTTCATTGTTTGAATTTTATATTATGTTGTGAGTGTTATGATTTTTATTTTAAAATAATAATTTTTTAAAATTGTAAGAATGTTTTAATTTTTTTAAATTATAATCAAATAAAAAATTAATATTTTTATAAATTTTTATACAAAAATATTTATAATAAAAAATATTAAAAATGATCAAAAAAAAAGCTTCTAAAGTAAAATTCAATTATTATCCAAGCCCCTATCATTTTTTCCCAATAAATTAAATCCTTGAACAACTATTTTTACTAATTGATTCACTATTAAAGAAAAAATATTTAATTATTTTTTTCAATTGAAGGTTTTATTAAGTGAAAATAGATATGTAAAGATTAAGTTAGATAAAAATAAATATTTAAACGTTTAATTGATTTGAAATAAAAAAATTCAAAAATTAATTGATTATAATAAAATATTAAGAATTTAAATGATTATTAAATTTTTATTTGAGAGTTTTTTTTATCCTTTTGCCTAAAAATATAATAATTATACATTTTTGTTAAAAACGTATGTTGTAAATGATAAAGATTTTGTTTTTAACTTTTTATTCTATTTATTTTATATCTTCGTAGTTAATTAAGATTAATTTACATTGTTGAAATGATTTTTAAAATCTTTTTGATACAGTACTTTTAAGAATTACTTACAATTATATACCATTTAAGAATTTTAAGAAAAATTATCATTTATAATTTTTCAAAAAAAATTTAAAATTTTTTAAATTATAATTTTCATTATTTAGCTCATTCAACTACAATAAAAAATAAAATATAATACAAAAATAAATAAATAATTACTACTTTATTCCTTCACCTTAAAAAAATAAATAAGTAAAAATACATATTGGGAAATAACCCAAGTCACAAATCTAAATTGGGCCTAGGATAGTATAATTTAAACCTTTTTTTTTTTTTTGTATTTGTGTTGGTTTTAGTTATTGAAAAACTTGATTATTTTGGATTATTTTATTTTTTTAAATACCGAAAAGAAAAGTAAAAATATAAGGTTTGGATCTATGTTCTCTATTTTTGACGTTTTTTATTGTGTTGGTTTTTTTCGTTTAAACTTTAATTGTTTATGAATTTAAAAAGTTCACAACTAAAAAAAAAAGATCAAGATATATTTTATTTTTATCTGTTTTTTGAGAAACCATTTAAAATTTTCAAATGTGAAGTATATTTTTAGATTTGTTGTTCATTATTTTTTTTTTAAATTAAAAATGAAAAAAAATTTTTTATCAAATTTTAAGATCGTAAAATTTTGGATTTGGTTGAATATAGATCTTTTTTTTTTCCAATTTTGTTTTATATTTTGACTTTTTTTTTCTAAATTAACTAAAAAATATATTAGAGACATTAATTAAAAAATAAAAAAAGTGAAGATTCAATTGTTGTCCAACATATGGTGTAAAATTAAAAACTTCACATGAACTGCATTAATTTCTATAAACTATTAGAATCATGATCAAAGATTTTCATAGTATGATTTATGGCGAAGCATTAGCTCTTAGCCTGACATAGTCAAGCATGCTAGCCACTTGTGCGATTGAGAAGTCAAGAGGCTTGCTCATAAAACTAGTTTTGAGGTATAACTAGAGGGTACCCCACTTAACGAGTTTGACTTTTTTTTTGTATCAGAGTGCAACTCCATATAAAATTTTCATTTTATTCTATTTCTAACACTAAGTTGGATAGAAAAAGCCAAAAGAGTTTTCTTTTCATAGATTTATCAAACACTAGTAGTTCACAACATTTTTCATTTAGATCTTCGTTTAGTTTATCTTCTCTTCCTCCTTCTCCTGTAGTTAGTAAATCTTTTTCTTCTAAGTTAGATGTCCTTTATGAAGTCAATTATCTTCTAGAAAACAAAAAAGTCAAAGATACAAACTTTTCCATTATAAATCCCTATATTGTTTTCTCAAAACCCTTTACTTTCCTTTTTAAATATGTAAAAACCCTTTTGAAACCAAAATATCAAGCTTTAAAAGAATATGTTTAATCTACGAAGTTTGATTAGTGTATTCTCCCAACTAGATCTTAAGAGCACTTTATTACTTTTCAGATTCTTGAAAAATTTTCACAACAATGGTTGGACCAAAGATATATTCACATTCACTTAGGATGGCTTTGGTGGATACAAGATTCAAGGATTATCAACATGCAGTACTAAGCAGAGTTGGGCTAAATACTCAATTTAAGACTAAACATTTGGCATATTGCTCAATTTATGACTAAATGTATTATTTTATCTAAATTAGGATTAAAAGTTATCGATTTATAATAATTGAAGACTTTTTTAGATGGAAAAAACAAAGTGGAACACACGCACCATTTTCTCGCATAACACAACAAATTATTATTGTCATAGTGACTTTTTACTTGTCTAGTAAACACATTTGAAGTGAAAAAATAAAATAATATTAAAAATATAAATTATAATCAAAAATTTGTTCTTTTTTTCTCATAAAAAGCTAAAATAAGTCACTAATTTACCTATAACAAATTTTTTTAGTAGATTGTAAATTTCAATCTAATCAACACATTCGGAGTATAAAGAGTTTGTTGTGAAAGAATCACAGGAAAAAAACACAAAATTATCCAAAAACTTGCAACAAAAACTCATTCAAATTCAAATTACATTTGAAATATTTTTAAATTTCATCCAAATTTTACGCTCATAAAAGACATTAATCATTAATTAAAGAAAAACCTAATAAAAAATTGACTAACCTGTTTTATTAATGAAGTTGAAGCAGACCCATCAACAACAAATTGATGATTGTCGAGTGTTTGTTGGGTCCAACTAAGGTTAAGCTAAGATTGGGTGCTTGTACTGAAGCATCAGCTAGTTTTTCCCATTAATCACTAGACTCTTTCATAAAAACTTAACTTCTCGTTCCTTATTCTGAGTTATCACTGTAATCTCCACTAGCAAACAACCACAAAAATAGCCAATAAATAAAAAACAATCTAAATGAAAAAGAAACTAAAACCCATTTCAAAAATCATCTCAAAATTCAATTCATGATAAGAAAATGAAAGTAATCTTTTTGTTTACTAAAAATGAAATTGGATTTTCAAGATTAGAGTTGTTGTAGTTTCAAACAAAATCCTTTATTTTCTTTCAAGTCCATTATTTCTTTCCCTCCATATTTCACACCAAGACCTAAACTCAAATTAGTCATGCCATTATTGATTCTAATCTTATCATTATCATGGATGCTATAAACAACCCAAACTTGGATGCC